AGGTCGTATGCTAAACAACAACACGTATGAGGAATACTATGGCGGGAACCACTCGAAGAACCTTGTTGCATGTGGTGGCCATCAGGTGCTTCTATGATTTGGGCTTTGTATGGCTCACCCAGCAATCACATGTCAGCATTTTTTGGCAGTGGAGAGAAGAGGTTGCACCTAGGACCCTTTGCAACTTGGAAAGGCCGTTCGCTGAGCAGGTTGGGTGGAGCCTTGCCCAAGGGTTTGCCTTTGAGCGTGGGCAAATCCGAAGCTCCTCGAAGGGCATTTTCCTACTTGGGCTCCTTCTTTCCAATGCAGCACGTGCAGGGAGCAGAATTGGCAACACGCAAACTTGCGACCCGGAAAAAGCTAGAGGTGTCAGTTGCTTTCCTTTGGTTTCCCTTCAACACCACAAAAAGGGTAGGGGACTCAAAGAAGAAGACACCCAAATTCGTGTTTCAACAGCAGTCCCGGGTTACGCTGTAGAGGCTTCTACAGGCCCGGCTTCGAGTTGGCGCTCACCTACTGCCACGCGGTCCTGCGGCGCATGCAGCAGACCATGCCCGATCTCCACGTCCCTCGCCTTGCTTTGGGATGGCTTCATGTCAGCTTTTCTTTTGACGACTAGATATTGTTTGCTGATTTTGAGACAGTGATTTGTTCTGGGAGTCTGGTTTGATTGTGCTGCCCTGAAACAAGACATCTCCTGCGGAGATATTTTAAAATGTGAGCCCTTCCAAAGCCTTTATCGCAATTTGCTTTCACGGTGCCTGTGTGGTGTTTTTTTGCAATTGAAGCCAAAAGAAAGCAAGTAAGGACCACTTCCTGGCCATCGGCATCCAGTATGACCTCTATCTTTTTCCTTGGTTCTTGCGCCTCTTTGTGACGCTGGTTCCCCTGCCGCTGGACGCTCGGCGGGTTCCTTTTTTTATTGAGCCGTCTTTGTTCTTAACACGGCCGTCTCTCTCTCTCTCTCTCTCTCTCTCTCTCTCTCTCTCTGAGGGTGCCTGCGTAGAAGGAGCGAAAATAACCACAGCTCTCGTTTGGAGGCGACTGAGGGCGGATCGAGGCACAGGCGGCGATTGTACACGCGACAATCTCTGGAGGACAATAGACCAAGCTTTTGAGGACAAGAGATGAAGGCACGACAGACAATAGAGGAAGCCGTAGAGGGCAATAGAGGAAGCTTTTGAGGACAAGGCAGGACATCATAACACGAAGAGGAAGCTCTGGAGGACAGTAGAGCAAGAGAGTCAGGTAGAGGACACCAAAGCGTTGGAAGGAGCGGAAGCAAAGAGGACTGGAGGAAGCTGTAGAAGAAAAATCAAAGTTTGCAAGCACCTAGGAGGCATCTTTAGAGCAGCATGGAGGATGCAAGGGAGGACAACAGAGGCAGATCCAGATAACGATTGAGGAAGCAAGAAAGACAATAGAAGCAAAGGTGCGCTTCCATGTTGTGGTAACATGCTGTTGCGGTTCCCGTGTTTACTGTCGCGGTTACGAAACATGCTTCTTCTGGCGGAAAGAACTACGAGAGCAAACTGTCGAACGCCAACTTGCATTCCCTGTTGCCAGTCAGACCCGCAGACATGTCAGAGCTGCGTTTTGTTAATCCGCTATGTGCCACTTTTTGGCCAGCTGTTTGCATGTGCTTGCTAAATTCGGCATAAAAGTGCGGGAATGAGACTTTCTCAGGTGAAGCGCTTTTGGGACATCATCCTTTGCGAGGGCTCCTGTGCTGTGCCCACGCTGGGGCTGCTGGTGCTGAGAGTACTTCGGCCCGCGCTGCTAGGCGAAGAGGACGCTCCTGCTGCGGGTGCCGTGTTGGGTGTCGGAAGGGCGCTTCTTAAAGCGTCTCTTAAACAGAAAGCCACCCAAGCTGGTGGTTTCCCTTGCCACCACGGCGGTCCCCTTTTTGGTTCTTTTTTGTGGACACGATTTTTCTCCCAAACCACACCCACACAAACTCACCGTTTTCCCGCATGTACACATTCTCTCGAGGCGTTTCCACTGCGTGGAGGAATCCCATGATTCTGACGTCAACGCACAGCAATCTTGAGGAATAAGCCAACTGTTTGGAGGCTCATCCCAACTAAGCAACTTCTCAAATCTGGCACCGTTTCCTTCTGGTTTCCTTGAAGAGCCATTTCACAAGGAGGTATTGTCCCTTCATTTCGTATCCTTCCAAGACCCACGACAAGCGGGCTCTGCAGTTTGAGTTTTGCACCTGATGGAACTTGCTTCTTAGATCCATGGTGGGCGCTTCTGGCAGCGACTCAACATGAACTTGCTGCACAATTTGAACCCGCTTGCTGGAGGTCTTAGGGTCTTTAGGGCGAAGCAGTTGGCACACAAGTTGGCACACAAGATGTCCTGCCTGTGATTTTGCTACGGAGAAGGTCTAACTGTTACGGGTCTCTGAGTTTGTAGCTTCCGTCGGCTGACCTGACGAGCACAGATCGGGTTGTCAAAGTGGGCGAGCTTTTGCGGGAAACCTCCGAAGGCAGGGTAAAAGGCAAGCGTCCCAATACAAGCACAGCCTCGATGTCGCTTGCTCTTTCTCGGATAGAGGACCTTGACGGAATCAATCAGAGGCTGAGGCGGGGGATAGAGGACACTGAAGGAGGCAATCAGAGGCGGGGGGCTGGGGGGAGTCGCGCGGTCTTTGAGGGAGTTTGCCGGGTGTTGACATGGATTGCCAGCCTGATCATTGAAGATGACTCACGAGCGCATCCCCTAGACATCGCAGTCTGTGAAAATGAAGGCAGCCCGGTAGTTGCAACATTGGGGGATAGTGCCACTTGGCGAACTTGTTGCGCACTTGTTTTCGGTGCGGAGAAATTGGTGATATCTATCTTCAATTGGCATGTTTCCTTTAAGGCGCCCTGGCAAGTCCACCCAAGGCAGCGTTCCCAGCTTTGAGTAAGCAACTCTTCAGCCTAGCAAAAAGCTGTTGGTCACCGCTTTGAGGGCATGCACGCACACATTGTGCGCAGTGTTTTATGATTTCGGAAGGTTGTCAAGCACCAGAGGCTTTTTCACGCGAGATGATGCTTCTCTGCGCACACTTTCGATATCGAACTTGACAACGGCGGAAAGACCTCAGGTCTCGATTCTCGATTTACTGATCTCGCTGTCTAAGTGCGCTCTGATATTTTCAGAGTGTTTGTTTGGTGTGTTTGTGGTTTGCGTGAAGCGCCTGCCGGGCAGTTTTGGTTCGACCTACAAGTGTAGGTCTTGATTTGGGCGTGTCTTGAAAAAGAGGACCGATCCCGAGCTGGTTAGTTGCCCTTTTGTTTCCCTTTGAAAACCAGCCAAAAGGGGGTTCCCCAAAACAGACCCCTCGTTTGGCGACCCCCATGGAGGCTGGAAGAGGCCGACTGGACGCGCCTCGGACACAGAATAGCCGTTTTTTTTTTGTGACTCGCGCGACTCGCTTGACAAAGGGATTGCTACGCCACGAGGCGCCGCAGTCCTGAACCAAGGACAATTTGGCTACCCTGCCACTAACTAACATGGAAGTGCATAGACCCCTGTTGAAAGTAGCTACTTTCCTCTTGGAAAGGGGCTTTGTGCACTTCCATGCCACTTGGCGGGTATTGCTTGTTGCTAGATATGACGCAGTTCTCTCGCGGGAAGTTTTTCTGCCAGGTCTTTATGGCACGTGGTTGTTGCATCACTAGCATCCGGCATACGCTTTGAGCGGATGTGTAGAAAGTATCACCTTTGCCTGCTATTCGGATTAGTCGATCGTCCGTGAAGCTCATTAAGTTTGGGCTACTCATTTCAAAAGATCAAGCGCTCAGAAAATTCCGAACGCTTGGTTGCTGTCGCGGCCAAGCTTACAGGCTTTTGGACGGCATCAAGGGCATGGAGCCCTTACTCTGGTTTCCATCAAATTTTTCGAGCCCTGTGGGGTGCCCCCCCCCAATTCAAACCAACCCTCAGTTGGGACACTACTCCTTTTGGACTCCCCTTGAAAAATCAATGCACTCGCTTTTTGAACAATTCAGCAACAGACCCTTTCCCCAGCCTTTCCAAAGCCGCTCGGACCGCGCCCGCCCGTCCGAGGCGCTTGGAGCAGGAGCTGTCGCAGAGCTTCGAGTCGGAGCACGCCTGGGTCCAGCAGATCTTGGCGGAGCGGCCGCCAAAGGGCGGCTACACCCATGAGTTCATGCGGGAGGAGTTCTCCCGTCAGCGTCAAGCCCGCCCCCCGGCCGCGGCCCAACCCCCGCCTCCCCCCCCTCCCCCGGTATCTTTTTCCGGCGGGCGCGGAAACGGGGGTCTAGTCTCATGCATGGGGTCTGGCGTTAGCATGGCATCGTGGCAATCCAGTGTTGTGTGTTTTGTTTGTCCGGCTGGCCAGCGGGCATTGAAGTTAGGTCGGGGCGCTGACAGCGCGAGTCCAATAAAATGCACGAGTTTTGGGTTTCGCCAAATCTTTCTTTGGGTTGAGGCAATGAACTTGTTCGTTCGCAACCGGACTGTACTTGGCTCATTTGCCCTTGGCCTGGCTCTTGCGACGAGTGCTCTCGCGGAACAGGTCACCTCGCTTGCCATGTTGGCGATCGGCCTTGACCGGTTCGTTCGTGATCTGGTGAAGTTGAGATATTGTAAGTCTGCGCCGATCAGACACGGATCAGCTGTCGATTGGGCAACATGTTATTCAGATTTCTAACTGAAATGCAACTCACAAATATTACTGCAAGATCTTGGAAGTTGGACTTTTCTTCTATCATCCTGTTTTGAATGTTCTATTTAGTATTTGGAGAGGTAGTGGTGTTAGATTGAATTCCAACTGCACGGGCTATTCGATGTGAGAGCCTGTGACTTTGTTGGTTTCCTTTCGCAGATGGCTTCTTTGCTTGTGGTTCTCCTTGCCGTTCGTGTCTCACGCCCCACTTTGCGAGACTCAGCGCCGATTGGCGGTTGGTTTGCCCCCAATGTCCAGTAGAAACTGTGCGGAGGAGAGTGTGCAATCCTCACATGGGCGTGGGTCAAAATTAAACCACCAGGGAACCGCAGGTTGTAGTTGAAGTTTCCATTTACCGGGGTTCCATTTTGGACACATATGTTTGACCAGCCACATCTCGTTGAATGTGTTCAACGCAATGGCGGCGCTTGGACGGAGTTCGGCAGCGTGCGATTCCCGCCTCGCGCTTGGCTTGAGGTCAGGACCTCATCGAATCCATGGCTCCTTGGCGGCTGCTCTCAGGGCACTGATTGCGACCGTTTCAGCAACCCCTGAAAGGGTAGATTGCGTCAGACAGTGCAAGGGTTGCGCCTGTTCGTTTTTTTTCTTGTCAAAGCGGGTTTAGTCGAAAGTTGCAGTGGGAACCGTGCTTGCAGGGTTTCTGAAAACTAGGATTTCTGAAAGGAAGCGTTCCAAACTGACCGGTTTTAAGGGGGATGTTCAAGATCGGCAAAGAGACGTGGATTTGAACGTGGCCTCCATCCCCTTATTATGTTTCTTCGAAACATCCTGCTTATTGCGGGCTTGATCGGGATGTTCACCGGGTGCATCGCAGGGCTGCAGGGTTGTTTTGTCCCACTGACTGAGGCTATGAGCCTACTCTTTTTTTTGCGTCGGCAACCAAAGGTACGACCCACCATTTGAGCCACCCTGGCATGGCATGCTTTGGCGAAGCATGGCAAACACAAACTGTCACATGGAATGAGCACTGTGAGCACTGGTCAATATTTGCCACGGGGAACCCTGGTTGAGTTGGATCCTGGCTCATGCTTTCTCGCCGCCATGGCACTGGGAGTGATACTCTTGCCTTGTGTCATGGCGCCTTTCTGACCCGCTGGCTGGTGGCTCAGGCCCAGGCTGCTGCAGAGGCCCAGGCTGCGCGTGTGGAGGCTGCGCAGGCCGCGGAAGAGGCCGAGCCCTCGGACCCGGCTTAGCAGTGAAGCGACACACACACACACACACACACACACACATTCTTTTGGTTTCGCATCAGCGGGCCAACATTTGTCGGGGAGCTCTTCAGCTTTCCGCTTGTCCTGTGAGGTGCCCCCGGTGCCCTGGCCGCGCGGAGTGCGCCAGAGCCTCACTGCGCCGATCCAGGAGCTGTCCTGGGCGCCCCGGCGCAACTGCCAGGGGCCGGAGCTAGTTTCCCACAGATGTGGGGCGCTGTGGGGGTTGTGGGGTGGTTGTGGGGGGGGGGGTTGGGGGGGCTGGGGGTGTTGGGGGGAGGTTGTGGGGCGTTGGGGGGTTGTGGGGGGGTTCTTCTTTTTGCTGCTGCTCCCAGCCATTGCTTGCACTTCCCGCTTCGTGGTCGTGCTCGTCGTCCTGGTTGTGGTTGGTGGTGGTTGTGCTCGTGGTCGTCGTTGTGGCTGCCGTGTCATTGACTGGCAGTTTGCAAGCAGGACATGAAGTTAGACCCACCAGTTCGGGAGAAAGAGCATGCAATCATTCCTCATAATTCTGTCCAATGGGACCAGGTGCCATGTTTGCATTGCAGATTTTCCAGACTGAGCTTTGTACCTACCGGACTGAGCTGCGTCTGAAGCGCCTTCCAGCGGCCCTGCCAGAATTCCAGATGGGCATATACAAGCGTGTACTAGCAGGCGAAGTCTGAGAAACGGACTCGTTGATGTCAGGAATGTGAAGCCTGAACAGCGAGCTGGGTTTGGGCAAGCTGTACCAAGCTTTATGTGCACGGTCTGCCGAAGGATCTGCTGTTCTGCCGGGCTTCCGAGGCATTTTGCTGACTTGGATGCCATGTCGATTGAGCGACCACACCCTTCAATATCTCAAGCTTGGTATTCGTGATCGCGTGACAGGACATTTGGACAAGCCTTGGCATGGCTGATTTCAGTGGTTGGAGAGATTACAGCTTTGCTGCATAGCTGGGTCATGGGAAAAGGCAAATATAGCTTGGACCTCTGTTGGTTGCAGTGCCAGAAAAGATGCGCCTAGTTGGATGATCTTGGATGGGTTGCAAACATGGATTCCACCTTTTCTCCCTAAACATGCCGACGACGGTTACTCCTTACAACATGCGCCCACGAAACAGCATTTCCGCATGGCTGGCAAGCTGGCCGGCCCAGTTGACATTATTTTGACCACAGGTTTCTGCCAGCAGGAGGAATGTGGGTGAACAGTTTCGCTGGGCTAGGGAATCATTCGCTTCTTCCTGCCTTGCTCAACGAGCAACAGTCTCTCAGTCCGAAAAGTGCACAGGGGTTCGGAAGGCTCTTGAACTGTCCACTTCCACTGTTGGAAAAGGGTAGCATCAGCAATTTCTCATGTTTTTGCTCGATGCCCGAACCATGTCTGACACATTGAGGAAATGAGCGATGGTCTCTCCGATGCCCTACAGAGGCAGGTTGGTAGCAGCCCAGCGTTTTGCTGGCCTACAGGCCAACGCCCGTTTATGCATATAAGATGGCCCAGTTTGAGGTTGACACAGTCGCACGGTGTCTTTTCATTGCCAAGTGCCACGTTTTCCTGACAGCGCCAGTGACACAGGATCCGTGAAACGCGACTTGCACAAATGAGCTGTCTCCAAAGGGTAAGTTGGCGAGCTTCTCCCTGTACTTTGTGTTCTCTTGTCCAAGAATTCCACAGGGCCTTGGGACCTGCAACCATGAGAGCGCAGGATCCACAGGATCCTCAAGAAGCCAGAGAGACCGGAGAGGCGCTTTGCGGAAGCGACTCGTGTCGCGGAAACTTTGCTTTTGCATTGGTTAATGTCATTCCTTTTTGACGTGTCGGGATGTGCGGCTTGGTTGAGGGAATCATTCCGGTCCGTAAGGGATCCTGTTAAGTTCGTCCTTTTTTGCCTGGAAGCACTTCTTCTTTTCAACAGCCGAGCACTTGCCGCTTCAACATCCCTGCTTCAAGAAGACTGGTCAACCGTACGCTGCCTTTGCATTGCTGCCTCAACAACACTAGCCAACTATATATATATATATACACATACATATATATATATATATAGGAAAGCGCACACTGCTACTTCCGCTCTTCCATTGTTATCATGCTGGCTCAATATCACTGGCTCGAGCAGACCCATCGACGGTTCACTGCCTCCATATGACTGTCTCAATACCACCGCCTCGATATCACTCCCTCAAACATGCTAGCCAACTATTTGCCGCCACTGCAGTCGCTTCTTGGGAGGTCCCCAAAGCGAAGTGAAGGGTTCTTCCGACCGTATCACTTGAGAGATTCCCATTCTGTTCCTCGGGAACTCGGTTCATTGAGCCATGCCTAACCAGAAAGCTTGAAGGACTGTTGGGCTTTGAGAGTCAGGGTACGCCTCGTTAGGCATAGAGCAGACTGACGACGGTTCCGAGAGGCTCGAGGCCTCGGCTTGCATATTCCTCGCTGGCCCTTGCGAGCGGCGTATGGGAGACTTGAGGTTCCATGGTTTCGGCGGTTTCCAGGGGTAAACTTTTCTCACAAAGACAACCACCTGTGAGCTTGACAATGGCAAGCCTCGCGGCGCGAGGGGGGTTGGGTAGCTGACACCTTCAAGACCCGTGTGTTCACCCCAGTGCCGAAATCTTGAGATGCCCGCACTTCGCCCGCGTTGCCAAGTGGGCCGCTGGCAAGGAGAGAATGCCGTAGTGCAGTCAGAGCCTTTGTGTGCGATCAATAGCTATGAAGGAGAGGCCAGCTGCCCACCTGTGCAGTTTGTGGCGCAAGCGTCATTAGCTCCACCATGAACGTTCCAAGGGCGGGCACAACCGCCCGCAAAGACGCCCAGCGTGTCTAGAAGATGATTTCTTGTTTAAGCTTCGCGGCTCGGCGGATGGTACAGCTGCGTCACGCCGTGACAAAAGGTCCGAACTGCATCACCCCGTGCGAGGCCGGGATCATCCTTAACAAGGGTCCACCGTGACATGCCATAGGAGGGTGGCAAAGCCCAGGACAAGCAGGCCACTGTTGTACTAAAGAGTGGAATTGTGTGAAAGGGATGGGACAAACTTGGGGAGGTCTCAGAAGTGGTTTCCCCTGGTCTCCCGCCCCTTTCTCTGTTTCCCGCTTAGCGGGCCATTGCCTGGTGAGCTTCTGGCCAGCTTTCTGCCAATGACGTCAGCTGGGGTCCTCAACCTCCTCACGAGCAACTTGTGATCAGTTGCTGCCGTTGAGCTTGTTGAAGGTCCAAGCATCCCGCGGATTGCCTTGAACAAGTTGCGTTGTTTTCGTTTGGCCCGCTATTGATATGTGCTGTCACCACCCCCACTCGCTTGCCACTGATACGTAAACTTGCTTCGTTTCCTGGAACATATGTACACTTCCATCTACCAAAACACCGTTGCTGATAAGGGTCCCAACTTCTGCATCTTTAGCAACGCATTTTGTCCACACGGCCCCACTGCTCAGATGCACTGCTCAGACCCGTCGTCACGCCAAGGCCGGTGCGGTCCCCTCGGCGACCCAAGACCTCGGAGGGGTGCCAGCGCCGGTTTTCGGGGCACAACTTGGGTGCCACCGCGCCTTTGGAGGACCGGTCGCCCAACCCGCTGCCGCCCAGGCGCGGAGTGGGTGGGATGGGACATCCTGAGGCCTGAGGTCGCCTGGGGGATGTTCCATCGAAAGGTACGGTGAGTGAATACACAGACGATTTGCTTGGGGAAGGGATACATTCAAGTTACATAGCTGGGTAAGAGTCAGAACGGGCAGATGGCGAGAAAGCACACTTTAAGTACAATGGGTACTTGGGCAGGACCAATTTCTGAGCCACGGTCATGTGGCCATGAATTTTAGTAGGGAACCACCTCAAAAGTGATTGGCGGACATGAATCCCCACCTGACCAATGTCCACCAAATCAAAATTGTGGGTCCCTTACGCACATGGGTGTGTCATTCCTTTTAAAACCCACCAAAAGACGGGTACCAAAAGACAGACCCATATGGGAAAAGAGCACAGCTTCGTGGGACTCGTCCGGGTCGCCTGGGTCCAACCCGCAGGCCCAGCAGCAGCTGCGGTGGCAGCCGCTCCACCACGGCGTCGCCGGCGCCGGGAAGTCCGCGGCCTCCTTCCTCACCGCCGGGGGCCTGGGGGGGGGGGGTGGCAGTCAAGAGTCGGGAGGCGAAGGTTTCGGAGATGGAACGAGTACCTCTATGAATCGGGTAGACTTAATATGGGGACACTGGAACACTGAGCGATGGTCGGGTACATGTGCCCTGCAGCCCCAGCAAGTGGGGAGCAACGTTTGGGTTCAGACTTCATTGAGGCCCTTTTGGGAAAAAGGGCCCCTCCTACCAAACAAGAGCCCCTTACAAAGCGCGATCTTTAGCTCCACGGGTTTTCTTGAAGCCATATCTTACCCAGGGTAATGGGCACTTGCGTTAGCCGTTTCCTACCCAAACTTGATGCTGGTCAAAACCACGCCAAGCAGGCAGTTCACCCGGCAGCCCAAGAAGCAACCAGGTTTCGGAGATTCTGAGGAAAATGCTTGGAGTCCCGTCCAGCCCGTTTCTTGCGATCCCCAGATCTAGGAAGGCTACCCTAAGGGTATGCTGCATATCTTCATTCCGCCATGCACCACCTGCACCACATGCATGAACGAGCAAACGTGACTCTCACAGGGCCTACTTACATACCCAGACGTACATACCGTACATAGCCAACTCAAAAACCTTATATGTTTTCTTGGCCTCGCGGAAATGGCATCTTATCCAGTGTGAAAGTAGATGGCACAACTCCCCTGATGTAAGTATAAAGTGGGTTAAACTAACATGATCCTACTTTCACTCAACTGTACCCAGTGAACGGTGGTTGGTTCCCCCCAACCCCCCTCCCCAAACAGCAAGTTTGAGCACCCACAACTGTCACCACTTCAACCACCCCCCGAAAGTAAGTTGAGAACTGTTCAACCCGAGCAAATACTTAGCCTTTGGGCGGCCTCCCTGCAAAATGATTTTGTGGGACCCAAAAAGAAGGTCCCCCAAAAGGAGACTTCTAATCATGATGGCTTTCTGCGTTCCAAGATACCTCACTTCCGGAGTGGGTTGCCCCAAAAACATCAAACAATAACGTTTCTCCCAAACATGGTCTTCCCAACCGCAATTATTAAGTCCAGCGACTCCTGGAGGCCTCATGAGGGGTCAGGCTTCAGCGCAAGCTTGTAGCAAAGTCGGCTGTTTTTTCTCTCCGCGGGATTTTCCGCGTTGCGCATCTGGCCCAACCCATCCGGCCCAACCACCCCCCCCCCCGTAAGAGGGAAGAATTGGGCCTATGTGTCGCCCAAGGCCCTGAATAATAGTTTCCCGGGTTCTCCCTGGGCCAGCTCCAGGATATTAAAATCAATTACACCAGCATAGACCCCAGATAGCACACCACGGCTACGAACCATGACGCAGCATCATAATGGTTTCCGCGGCATGATAATGATGATGTTGCCAGCTCCTAGTGAGTCCGTCAGCAAAACAATGATGTGGACAGGATGATGCTGATACACCGGCCACAAACGATTCCGCGCTACATATCTAGCAAAAGAAAGGCAGAGACGACGTCCTGATGAGTTCGACAGCATCATGACGATGCGGACAGCATCATGATGATGCTCACAGCATCATGGTGGTGGCAAAGGCAGCATCTTGATCATACCGCAGCCACGAGTCATCTTGCGACAGTGTAATGAAAGTCAACATCAGGACGATGCCCGCCACCACACCCACGAACCATAACGCGGCGCCGCAGCGATTGCAGCAGCATCATAACGTGGTTGACAACATTATGATGATACACCAGCCACGAACCATTACGCGCGACAGTTAGAGCAGCAACAACGTCCGAATCGGTTCAACAGCACCATGATGCTGCTGACAGCATCATGATGCTGCGGCCAGCATCATGATGATGCGACAACCACGACACCTCAAACAGCGCCCGCCCTAGCACCCTGCCATCCATCACCAACACCCGAAAACAGCAGCCCCAGCACCCCAACGCAGCAGCCCCAATAGCACCGCAACGCAGCACCCGCGCCAGCGCCGGACACGTCCCCGAGCACCCTGCCGTCACGTACTGTCACCAGCACCTGAACCTGAACCGAACAGCACCCAAAACCGCACCTGCGCCAGCTCGATCTTGCAAAACAATTTCCCTTCTTCATTAGAAGTCTATAGTTTCCAGCTATCTGGGAAATAAGCCCACGCGGTCGGCTGCACCTCCAACAGCAACACAAAACAGCACCTGCACCACCACCCCAAACTGCATGCCCCCCAGCACCCGCCGGCAATCTCCGAAAATTGCGCCCACAACGTCAGCAGTACCTCAAGCAGCACCCCAAACAGTACCCCAAAACAGCTGCATCAGCTCCCCAAACTGCATGCGGCCATCAATCTTGCAAGAATGCGCCTGCACCATCACCAGCACCTCAAACAGCACCCCAAACTGAGTGCCCCCCCGCTGTCCATCAGCGCCCTAAACAGCACAGGCGCCAGCACCGTAATCAGCACCGCAAACTGCATGCCCCCTAGCACCCGGCCGTCAGTTTCGCAAAGCGGCGCCTCCACCAGCACCCGAAACTGCATGCCCCCTAGCACCCGGCCGTCAATCTTGCAAAACAGCACCTCCACCAGCACTCCAAACTACATGGCCCCCTATCTCGCAAAGCGGCACCTCCACCAGCACCGAAACTGCATGACTAGCGCCTGGCTGTCAATCTCGCAAAGCAGGACCTCCACGAACACTCCAAACTACATGCCCCCACTAGCGCCTGAAACTGCATGCCCCCTAGCAACCGCCGTCAATCTCGCAAAACAGCTGTAGTTTGCAACGTGATGTATTTATCAACCATGTTAACCCCAATGCATGAATGTTTCACTTGTGCAGTCTCATCATTACGACTGCATATGGCTCAAGAAAAAGCGCGCTGTGTACAGGGTTCATTTGTGACCCTTCCCGGTTGTTTAACCTGTTCTATAGGTTATCAGCCGTAAGCGGCTCTTTGTACAGAGTTGTACGCCATGGATGGCGACCCTGGACTACCCCATACCGAGGTGCGTCCCACACCTGATGAGCCCGCAGGCGATGAAGACGCCTCGCAATATGAACCGACTAGTCGAGCAAACTCCCAAGTGGCCAGGGAGCTCATCAGGAAGGGACAAGCACTGAGCAGTCAGGGCCCCGAATCACTTCGATCCCGGAGTGACCGTGGGAGGACTGGGCGGTCTGGTGCTCGATCTCCTTCACCTGTTGGATCAGATCGGCGTCGGCATGGTGACATAGTCATGTACGACCCCCAGACCGATCTCGCAAGGGGAAACCCTATGCCACAGTCCATGAATCAGTTCAACCAACATGTTGCAAACGTCCACCTCGATCCTTCGATGACGATCAACCAGGACGTGACGAACTATCAGCAGATCAACGCTACCCAGAACAATGCCCAATTCAACCAGTTCGTGAATCAGGACACCGGTCCCATGGTCGCCCAGATGGCGGAGGCAAGGCATGGTGAGATCATTGCCGGTCTCCAAAGCCAGTCGGAGGCCATGAGACGCGAGATTCAGATGAATGCTGAGCAGCGTGTGAACACAATGAAGTCAGAAAGAGAAGCCGAGATGAAGTACCAAAACGCCATCAATACGATCAGCGAGCAGGAGAGACAGATCAGAGAGCTAAGGGCTATGGTCGAGCAGATGATGCAGAATCAACAGCAACCGCCTGCTCAACCCGCTCCTGCCCCTGCGCCTCCTGTTCAGCAGGCACCAGCTACCCCCTTGGCTATCCCGACAGTTCCTTTGGCTGCATCTCCACCCGGACTTTCGAATGCTTCCTCGCACAGTTGGACGAAAGTCGGGAGCGACCCCTACGGCAAAGACGGATCCGTTCCCGCCGGGGCCGTGGACGATGCTGCTACCGGAGACGGTTGGCCTTGCGATGATGGTGATGGTGGAAATGACAAGGACAAGAAAAAGAAGAAGAAGAAGAAAAAGAAGAAGGACCGTAGCCGACGCCGGCGACGAGATCCGTCATCTTCTCCCTCGTCATCTTCGTCATCAACTTCGACTGCATCGGATGAATCCTTTCGACGAAAGCTACTGAAGCACCTAGGTAATTCGAGCGATCCGACAGCGGAACGCGTTCGTGTAAAGGAGGGTGACAGAATTCAGATTCCCCGATTCCCGAAGCCCGAACAGTACCGTAATTGGAGGATCAAAGTTAGGGATGCTGTTGTTGCTACTTCCGACCAACCCGAAAAGGCATTCGAATGGATTGAGGCAACTTGGATCCCAGGTCAAACTGTTGAAGTCCTTCGTGATTCAGGAATGTTTGTCCATCTTGATGCAAAGCTGGCATCGGCGTTGACGAATATCTTGGAGGGCGACCTCGCGCGGCAAGTTGACATTTTCAAAGAACAAGAAGCAAAGGAGAAACGCTATGCGAGGGGGCGCCAAATTCTTTTGATGGTTCACAAGCACTTCAGCACGAACATCAAACATGGTGCAATTTACGACTTTGAGGACTTGCTCTCTGTCCAGCTCATCAACGAGGACCTCAGAAACTTCATGACGAGATGGGACACGGTCATCGCTGGAATGGGCAATGAGCAAAATGAGAAGACCCTTGAAGCGCTGTTCCACCGCCAGATTCGAAAGTTTCGGCCCCTCAGTCATGATCTCAATGAGTATGAGCGAGCTGAGGAAGGGACGGAAAAGCACTCCTATAAATTCTTGATTGACGCATCGAGGAATTATTTGGAGCGCAAGAGGCTTGTTCACATGCGGGATGCTATGTCAAGCAACACAACGGGGCGTGGCAGGACTCCATCGAACAACCCTGCAGTTCCTGGAATCCCCAAGGGTGTATGCATCAAATTTCAAACTGGCCAGTGCACCTATGGTTCAGACTGCCGATTCGAACATGTTAAGGCACCGAAAGGTAAGGGGAAAGGCAAGAAGGGCGGGTCCAGACCCCAGACGCCAAGGAAGTATCGTTCGCAGAGTCCCCCTGGTTCGAAGCCCCAGGTGTGCAAGTTCTTCAAAGCGAACAGATGTGAGAGAGGGAAAGATTGCCCATGGCAACACCCCGCAAC